AAAAAAAAAAAAAAAAAAAAAACGGTTTCGGGTAGATTAAGTGTATTAAGACCGTATAATAGTGTAATGATGCCTCACTAACAGCAGGGAGTAGTCAACAGAGAGGGATCAGTAAAGGCCCTTCTGGTGAGGCAGTTCCACCAGAAGGTGAGAGGGCGAGGGCCGCATCAACCCTGCAGGGGCAGCCTGCCAGCCAGAAAGAGTAGCAAGGGCAAAGGTGCGCGAAGCAGTAACGAAACGCACTGAAGTATGCTACCTACCTCTGAGGGGTTCATGTAACTATGCAAGAAATTCTAATAACTTCATTAAAATAAAAAACCAAACAAATCTTGGATACTCTGTGTATGAGGAGCTACACAGTATACATTCTGACCTTTCTAATCTACTGGAGTTAAGGGACCTAGTAAAAAGTTGAGTCAAAGTGAGGACACCAGAAACTGAAAGAAAATCCAGCCTCAGCTCTTGGTCTGGGTCCAGTATACCTTGTTAAATATTAAGGGTTTTCTTGCTCCACCTGCGGAATTAAAAGGCAACAATTTAATTTGGTCCTCCCAGTTACCTTGAAGTGCAGTACTATCCAACTGAGCAGGTTTTCTGGCACTCTAAAGTAAATTTGCTGCCATGTGTCATTTCAGCTCCACGCTTTGTCTGATGATGGAGAAGCTGATCTTGAAGACCCAGCCTTGGCTCCTCTGAAAGACACAGAAAGGTTTGGGATCACACAGCGTTTGTTCGCTTCTGCTGACATGAGCCTGGAGAGGCTGCAGTCATCCGTGAAAGCTGCTGTCCAGAAGGACCCTCACCTTTCCCCACTAATGCTCTATATAAGCCTGAGTGGTCTCTGTGCCTTGGATAGAGGACATTAACATTAATAATGTAAATTATAAGCACATGCTATCAGCCACTATTTTTACCATCAAGATACTATTATGGGGCTGATCAATGAAATGATCAGCTGATCAATGAAATGAATTTACAAAACAGTTCAAGAAGTGATTTTTCTGTACTACCATTTACCTTGTGCATAGCCACTACAGTAATAGTAACCTGCTTCCATCTGATAAAACAGTATCCTTTTCTTAAGAGACCCTCCTGTGCTGGTGACCTGGCGTCTACGTTAGACGCCAGCAACTGAACAGAGGAGACCTGAGAAGGCTAAGCTAGTGCCTGTCTACACCTTTTCCCTCTGCTGCAAAATTGAGTCTGTTCATCACTTTCTTGTATTTCCCACTTCGTTATACATAAACCAGATGTTGTGGATGTTGCAGGAAGGTAATTTCTCTTCATAGACACAATGTTTTAGATGTGCTATATGCTCTACAGGGATTGAAAAATAAACTTTAAATGCCAAGAGAGTACATACATTCTTTTGCTTAAAAAAAAAAAAAATGTACTGGCCCTCCCTGGTGGCGCAGTGGGTTAAAGCACAGCACTGAGAATCGAAAGCCACTTCCACATGAGTTCGATTCCCTCCTGCCCCAGAGGTGACTACATGATGTGGCAGACCTCTCCTGACCCGCCCGCTGCTCCCCTCAGCAGTGTATTTCGTCGATCTGCCTGTTCTGCTCCCCGCTCTGTCTCTGGTGAAGCTTCTCACCGCCCCTGAGCCTCTGGCCTGTACCCCAGTTCTGTACGCACAAATAAATCTTAAAACAAAACAAAAAAAACTGTACTAGAAGTCTGAAAACAGGATACTCTTGCTTGGAGGGGGTAGAGAGGCATTTTAGCTGTATAGATTTTGACTTGCCATGCCTTTGATGAACATAATTTGATGTCTAGAACAATGCTGAATTCCCATGTATTCTGGATGTTTGATTTGTAAAATACTATATTTTGTATCAAAAGAACGCTTCTACTGTGTTTATTTTGCTTTTTATTCAGTCTTGACATCCTGCTATTATAAACAGCCTAGACAATCTTCCTAGAGCCCCTGAACCTGTTGCTAATATCCATTAGGGACAGAAAGTCACTGCTGCTGTCCCTTAGCAGAAAGGACCTATTGCTTGAATTTGTCTTTAGAGTAGGGAGGCAGAGGGGGATGAGCAGCAGCAGCTATTAGAAAGAAGCACCTTTTCCTTATCTCAGCATCATCTACTTTATGTGTTTCTGCCCTTCAGATTTTAATGACCCCCAACGCTAAGCAAATGCTCATGAAACACAGGATAAGGGACTGACTTGAATATAGTAGTGGTAACATTAAAAAAAAAAAGCCCCTTCTATACAAGTTAAAAGGGAATATGCAAAATTGAAAACAGTTGCATTAAAATGTTAGTACAGGTGCCATTTCCTCCGCTTTTTTGAATAAGCATACAGAACTGCAGACTAAATGTGTGATGTGAATCTACTTGTATCAAAATAGACATGCATGTATCACAATGTATCAGAAACCTTCTGTAAGACTTCTCAAGAAACCTAAAAGCAGCTCCCTGGGTACAGGATTTAGAGGTTGTGGCAAGCAGATGGTCTGGGTAGGAGTAGGGTGTGTTTCAACCTATTCCTGAGGAATTTTTATATGTATTACCCTCTAAAAGACACACACACACAAACAACCTCTTCAGACAGATGCTTTCTCAGCCGTGTTGCTGTTGGCTGTTTTCGCAACTGTTCTAAGACCAGCCAGTCATCTTGTTGGATTGTTTTAAAAATTAGCTAAGAAAAAGCCACAGCTTATGTTGCTGTAGGTGTTCCCAGCACCCCAGTTACTACCAGGCTTCCAAGTAGACTCCCTCAGGGATGTGTAGGTGAGACAGAGCTGGGCATACTGGAGTAGTGCAGAGTGAGACCCCAAAAGGTTACCCCATAATCCTCATTATTAAGTACCATTTTGAAATGCACTTTTACTTCCAGCTTGAGATCAAGAACCACACTTTTCATAATCAGACTGTGAAATAACTTCACTAGTAGGACAGGTTGCCTACTAAAAAACAGATGGTAAATAAAGCAGTATTTCCTAGAACACAACAGGACAGTGACCCCAAGGCTGCTGTTTCCAGCCATGACAGAGGGATCACTTGGTTTTCCTAAATAAACACAGGAAATTACATATTAGCTACTGTGCTATGTCCTAATATTGCCCCATAAAGATACCATCACCTAATAGTTTCTGGATCTGTAAAAACAGGTCACCTTACATGGCAAAAGGGACTTTGCAGATTGTCTATATCAAGATCCATAAACTTTTTAGAAAGAGTATCCTGGATTATCCCTTATACGAAAAATCAGTGAGAAGAGACCTGAAAGAATGCAGGAAAGACATGGATACTCTGTGTCATCACTGCGCTGGATAGGAGGCCTGCTCCCAGTGAGCAAGCAGTCCCTCCCGCAGTCAGCAAGGCAGTGGATACTTAGATCATGCAACCACATGGAACTGGTCTGCCAACAACCTGCAAAAGCCTGGAAGCAGGCAGGGAGACATCGCAGTTTTAGCCCTGTGAAACCAAGCCCTGTTGGATTTCAGGCCTACAGAATTGAGATAAAAGTTTGTGTTTTAAGGCTGTGATAGTATGCTACTGCAAAGTTGATGCTAGTTAGAAAAGTGGCAGCCAGTGTAAGGTGAAGAGTCAACATATAAAAGCTCCTTTTTTGAAGACATTCACATATTCTAGACTAGCAATTTCTAATCTTCGGAACCCTGGAAACAGACTCGGACAGGAGTTGCAAAGTACCTCTCTGAAACAGGTTTCCTGCACTCACCCACAGTCACACCTCCATCTCCAGGCCAGCCTGATGAGTCCACTTCCCTTTCCACTGCAAGTCCTGGGCCGAGCCATGTGCCACAGCAGCGGTCTTCTTTCCTACCAGGGTTTCCCTTTCTTGGCTAGTGGGGAAGCAGTCATGGTATTCCCTGCCAGGTAAGTATGGAGGCCTTCTCTTGATTCTCTATTTTAATCTTTCCTGTCTCTGATATTCTCTCCTGATATATGCTGTCTTTGAAAGCCACTGAATCCCTTGGGCTGGTATAGAGGAAATGACATGGCTTCCTGTTAAAGAAGAGAGGCAGTTGAAAAATTTAGGTATTTATTTTTGGAGGGAAAAAAATGACATTAGAGATGCCCTTTTTTGTACAAAGATTAGCATTTAACTACCCATGCTAATCTGATAGCTTCTGTATTTTTATCTTTAATCCTTAGTTCACCTATACATGAAATACTACATTTTCCAATAGTAAATATGTACATATACAAAAATATTTTATCATAAGTATATAATCTCCCAGATTAAACACTTTATTAATGCTTGTTTGGGATAGCATATGGGAGGATATGAAGATAAATTTATAGGAACTTTTTGAAAAATCAGTAACTAATGCAAATTTTGTTTATACTAGGGCAGCAGTAATTTTTTTTTTATACAAGGACTAGTAACACAAATACTTGGGAAACCATAGTGATTTTTAAACTTTTTCATCAGAAACTTACTTTTGCAGCTAAGTTTACTAATCAGCATTTCTCCCACTTGTCAACAAGTTGTCTTTTACAACTGCTTCAAAGACTAGAGATAAAGAGGAGCACACAACTGTGCCCATATGCCAAAACAAAGTGGAAAAAACAACCTCCCACAGCAAGGTTTTTTTTTATCAAATACTCATCGTGGCTCAACAGAGTGTGACACAACAGGAAGAAAATCCTGCTGGCTACTGAGCCCAGTGCTCACTCTTCTACAGCGGAGCTCAAGATACCACTTAAGAATCGGAGCTTCTTCCTTAGGAAGGGGTAGGAATCAGTCTGTAGTTTTATAAAGAGGACACATAGCTCAAAGAAATACTTACTTTGTATTTCAATTATAGGTGGAGGTTGGCTAGTCCTCAAATTTGGTCTATCTGGAAGACTAAGGTGTTTCTCATCTGGACAATGCTTTGACACTAGTTGCACACCTTTCCTCATTAAAAAACAAAAACCACACGCTTAAACTGGTATTTATTTCTGGTTAAATCTGTGTAGCTGAGGATTGAGTTTTTAAGACAGTGTCTTCTCCCTCTTGAAGTTAGTACGTAAGCCTTCCTCTAGCTTACTGCTGAATGGCAGTAAAGACTTCTAACTTTCAAAACAAGACACTCAGGTAACTCCTCTATGGTAGTGAACATACCTGTTCAATGGAATTTATAAGCATTGACACATTTAATCTACCAAATTACAAGTGGAATTTATGTTACCCATATGATTGTTCATTCAGTTTATATGGAAACTAGAGAAGAGTAAAAACCAGTAAGAAAAAACAGAGCAGTCACTCGGACAGAGCTTAGTGTGAGTAAGCAAGTCAGGCTTCTTGTAGGGCTATATTGCCAGCCAGTGGCCATGAAGCAATCAGGAGACAACTAGAATATCCATGTTGGACTTCAGGGCCTTTAACTGGAGCCAACTGTGAATGCTTCTCCCTATAAAGAAACAGATGCCTTTTAAACATACTACTATAGATTAAGCAATATGACTAGTGAATACAGTTAGGTATAAGAATAAGGTGGAGAAACTTTACAGAACAAAATCAGAGTATCTTTTGATGTAAGAGCAGTACTGGCACTGCTTACATGAATTTTGATTTGTGAATGGTTTGACTGGCAGCAAGGAATTGCTAAGAGTTTGTACTTAAGATTCCCAAAAGATATGTACCATTTAGTAGGTTACCTCCAAAGGAGGTATACTTTTAATTAACAGCTAAAATAAACCAATATGAGCAAATGCATATAAAAACCAGATAATGTAGCCTAGTAAGGATTTTCCAGTTTAGCATTTAGCACATTGGTTACAAAGTACTTACTGTAATTTGAAGTGAAGACAAATATTAAGTCAGCTTTAATTAACAAATAGAATATTAAAAGGAGAGCTTAGCAAAGGTCATACCACGGCTCTTAGAACCTTAGTAGAAGTACATCATTGCTATTTTTATCAAAACAGACTATTTTAAAGAAAACAGTACATTGTGTTGTAGAAATGGTGCAAAATAGGCTTTTAAATCCTTAGCTCTTTCACTTTCAATGTATTAAGGAATCATTTCTGATACTGTGTACTTAACCCATTCCATGAAAACACAAAGTAACATATTTATGGGAAATATTAAAATGTGAATACAATTTGAAGCTAACAAAAATATAATCTTACCTTAAAAAATTATAGAATTGTTATCTTCCTCACGTACACAATGTAGATGAACATAAAAACTGATAGCTCTGAAATTATTAGTCAATTGTATGCTTAAAAGTTTATGAATATTCTCTATATACAATAATCCTATTACTTAAAATACTTAATTTCCCCCAAGAATTCCAGATATATTACAGGTATTACTACATAATTTCTCATAGCAATCCACTGGAACAAGAAAAGGAATCTTTAAGTCAGACCATAACATAAACTCATTCGAAGATTAAATAAGAATTTCCCTAGAGGTTTCCATTCAGAACTCTCTTTTTTCCTTCAAGAAATAAAGCTATAATTTTCTGAATTAAATTCCTCATCGATTTTTCATAAAGGAAATTACTGATTTTATCTCAAGGTAAAATTAGAAGAGCCTTTTAAAACATGAAAAGCTGCACAATTTCTAGTAATGTGGGAGTAATTAAAAATTCAAGAAAACTAGTTTATAATTATATGGGTCAATAGTCAATATGTTTAGATTTTTAGTCATATATTTTGGCAGAACTTTACATATTATACAGTTTTATATATATGTGTATGTATATACATGTGCGTGCATACATATATATATACATATATATAAATAAAATACATGGTGATCCAAACATTTAAAAAGTGATCTGCTATCTATATAATATACATTAAACTTCTGGATTAGTTTTTTCATATTTAGTATAAAGGTTCATTGCTACAAAATTATTGGCACTCAAGTCTGTGAGTTCTGGAAATAAAGTTCTGTTTCTGAGATCATAGAAACAGAATTGTACCTAATTCCATGGCTAACTTGGAAAAGCTATTCCAATAATGACACTTATTGTTACACATAAAATAAGAAGCAATTTAATGAATTTTTAAAGCAAAGCTCTTTTATTGTCAATGAGATATTATGGCCAGAGCATTGGTATTTGGCCATAATCTATTAGGACCACACTATTGTACTTCATTGTGAATTTGCATTATATTTAAATTTGTGTTAAATGATGAATTTGTTCTTTTAAAGAAGACTTTTCCTTATAAACTATTATTAGTAAATTTACTAGATTCTAGAATCTAGGATTTAGGTTATAATTATACTAGGTTTTTGATAGGTTTTTTGTTTTAGAAAGCTATATTCAGAAATTAAATACAGTAGACAAAAGTAAACAAAGTTCTAATTTTTTGGGTACTTGATATTACCCAAATATCAAAAGAAACTGAGACTGTATAAGCAAGGCACGGGTGTAATGAAAGTGAAATTCTCATACATCTTATCTATTCTATTAGTTATGGTTAAATGATTTATTTGGGGACATCAACTATGGATATTTATACATTTGAAATGTAATATTTAGTTGTATTATCATTGTGTCCTCAGTGCTGAATGTGAATACTTACCTGTCCACAAAGAATCCTCAGGCTTATTAATGTATTGGCACATACCTGTCTATTAAAACTGTTACTGAATGTTCAACATCCTGTTAAGCCATTTTCTCTTTGGTAAAGTTAATCATCGTAGGTAATTTCCGTAAGAGAAGTTCACATTTCCTTGATCACAACTATGGTCTCGCTGTCTCAGGAGAATTCTCTGGGACTCCTTGCTATAGGAGAGCTCTGCAAGTTTCTGCAGACTCAGATAGGACTTGAATTTCAAGTCCCATGACTCTTGATAGAGACACAACGAACTTTCCTCAGTTTATTCTCTTCAGTTCAGGCACCGAGGCTGCAATGAACTAAACACCACCATTTTCTTTTCTATTAGGAGGGTTCTAGTGTGTACAACAAAGTAGTTAGTGATGAATATCACTTATAACACAAATAATTCCTTTCAGACTACTGTCTATTTTCTAAATGTGTAATTTTATACCATGTGCTAGGCTAAAATAATTGTGATGTGCAATGTCATTTCTATTGCACCAAGACCAAAATACTTTGTGGATAACTTTCTTATGCTTGCCACCACAATCCCAAAGGCATTCAAAGAGGCTCCACACAGCATCTTGAAGGCTGCCTGCAAAATGTAGCACATTTCCTGCGAGTGTGGAAATGACATTTCTCTTAAAATTTACAGGGAGTTGAAACACTCAATCACAGGGCATCACTTTGACATTGCGCCTTGATTCATGTTGCCTCTTTGCGAGAAAATGATGTAAATATGTGTGGTTTAAAAGCTACCAAAGGTAATAAGAGAGTATGATCCTGGCGGATACTTCATGTAACTGCTTGAGTGAGGGGAAAACAAATGTAGCAGCCGGTATCACTGCCCACAAGAGATGGCCACCAGAACTCACACACCTACACCTAAGTGTGTATACTAGTCACTTGAAAAGCTAGCCACGATATAAAATCTGATTTAGTTTAATGATGAGCAGCATCTCAGGACATTTTAGCAAGGATTTACAATATCCAAGAAATCCTAAAGGAGGATGTTTTAACTGAGGTGAATTTGGAAATTTTGGTGTTAGTGCACCTAAAGGAAAACGTTTTCCTAATCATTAAAGAAAATGTGTCCCCTAAATGTAAAAAATAAATCACTATTTTATATATTATATAACATATACAATGTACATATTATATAATGTATATATAACCTGTATATAAAATAGTTGATAATAACGTCCAAATTTTGTAATTGTTCAGTGGATTTGGTTCTCAACAGAAGTTGAACAAATACCTTAAGATCACATCATAGTTCAAAAAGCACATTGCTCATAAACCCTCCAACTGCAAATTTTGAGGCATTCTTAAGCATACCAAGAAATTTGCAAAGGCATGATACATTTGCTGACCATATCCTAATAAAAAGTATCTGAAGTACTATGTTCATTTTTGTCAGATAAACTTTACATGTGACAATAAATCAATTTTGCCATAAGGTTTCATAGGATAAGGCACTCTCACAGCCTGCATGCTCTTGCTTTCTGTGTATACGTTAACTTAGCATCAGCTCGTAACTTCAGAAAATGAGAGTGCAAGGAAATGCACTTTATTTTTTCACTAGAGATAGAAATGAAGGGAAAAACCTATCTGTAAAAGTTACCATGGATAGCCATACCCCTCTGAAATCAGGAACTAGGAAGCATGGAGCAGACTCTGAATGCCAGATTTGGGTGGTAGTAGACTAGCTATATTGCTAACATCAAAATTTTGCTTCTGTAATAAATTGTATTAGGAAAGAAGGCCAATAACTACTATTTTCTCTTAATGAGAATAACCGGTCCTTCACTAGTTAAATGCTGAATGACAGCTTTACAAAACTATTTCAAGTATTCATTATCACAGTGAAAATGTGAGACCTATGCTAGAGTGAATGGTTTGAAAATTCTTCTGATGAAAAAGGCAAGGGTACTAACTCAAAACATATACAAAATGCTTCAACGCATTTCTCTGTGATGTGAATAGAAAGATTATCCATTAAAAAGTTAGAAAAATTAAGATAAATTATATATTAGTACACCTTCCCAACCACATTGTATATAAAAATTCAGAATAGTATACTGGCATTTCGTTCTACACAATAAAAATGCCTAGACTTGGCAGATTATCTTCTATCTGTACATGTATTTTCTCAGTAGAAGGCTTTGTGTTGCAGTTACTTTTGAAAAGTTTTATTTTAATCGTGAACCTTATTGAATCATCAGTAAACCCAGCTGATTGGGACCCACTGTGGTTCCATTCTCAGTTTCTCAATGGCAGTTTGTAGTTTCTCAAAGGCTTTATCTAGATTGTTGTTTACGATGATCAAATCAAAATAGTGGTTGTATGCTCTTTGAATCCGTGCGCTTTCATCCACTGTTTTCTTCAAATCAGAGTCCTGTAGAACAGTTTTGAAAGGAAGTATTTATGATAAGATATGTGTATGTGCACGCGCGTGCGCACACACACGTGTGTGTGTGTGGGCTTAAACACCAAGTTAAAATGAACGTAAAGCTTAGCAGGTCGGACATTTGTTTAATGTATGTAACTCTGATGTGAATCATTAAAATTGCATCTACACAGAATGTTAAAAATGTAAAATACTAAAAATGATGGCCAGATCTAGTTTCCAGATATATTAACTTTGCATTTATGAATATTACATAACTTCTGTTTCATGAAGATAAAATGCCCAATTAAAGGAATGTTGACAGTGGCAGTGTGGAATTTAAGTTAATAAAACAACTACCACATGAGACTGGTTTCAGGTCCAACAATATTATCCTTTTCAAAAGATTTTTATCTTGTGGAATCTATCTGTAAATAATACACTAATTTGCAATAACTATTAGTCTTGAATCCAAATTGACTTCCTATGTCTAAGGAGAAACTAATAAATGTATTTTGAGGACTAATTTTGTACATGTTCACTATGCAACCATATACTTTGAGTTAGAGTGAGTTCTATTTTATAAAATAATTCTCATTTTGGAATGACATAAAGAATAAGGAAAACTTTTCTCAGTAAGCTGCAAGTGTTTTAATATTTTGCAATACTTCTACAAGTCATACAAATATTTACTGAGTTCCTGTTAAAGTGGTTACTATGTTTTATAATTGTTGGTTAAAACAATGAATAAGACAGAAGTTTCTACTGTTGAAAGAGACAGAGAAAGGGCAAATAAACACAAAAACTTGCAAGCTGTAATACTACTAAAAGAAACATACCAGCATGGGAGAATTTTCGAAGTTCTACTTTAGATACAAATGATTAGAAAGACAGTAAGTGAATGCATTTAACCTGAGAACTGTAGGAGGAGAAAGCCTATTCCAGGCAGAGGAAATAACAAATCAAAAATCTAGAGAGAAATAATCCCGATGTGAATATCAATAGGGGGTAGAAGAAGTAAAAAGCTGAGAGGAGCACTGGACAGGTCATGGAGGAGCATACAGAAAAGACAAGACATCTTTGGGTTGTTATGTGGGCAGAGACTATGGAAATGACACTAGACTGGAAATATCTGGTGAAAAAATCATCCAGAGTTGACTGGTGAGCTGGATAGGAAAATGAATGAACCAATGATAGCTCATGCTCCTAGCTTGAATGAATGAATGGTTGTAGAAGGTGCAGAGCTGGGGGTGAAGGGTAGGAGTGGTGGGAAGAATGTGGTTTTGACTGTGACCATTGAGAAAGCCTAGAAACAATGAACTGCTAAGTTGAAAATACATTCTCAGTCCCTATGTTATTTCTAAAGACCATTTCCCACTAAAAGGAATCAACCTTCAGAAGGCTGGTTCTAGGTCAGGGCCAGGAAATATGTAAAGATGAGGAGAAACAGCTGTCAGTGATACCAGGAAGCAAAGACTTATCAAAGGCTTGGAAGAAGAGAAGGAAATGGGCTTCTAGGAGCTGAAGACAGTTTAAATGTCAAAAACAATAAAAACTGATTTAGAGAGGAATTATTCCAAGTGATTTTAAAAATAGTTATTTCTTATGTTTAATGGTATAAACTCTACAGATAAAAAGGGCAGAAAGAAAACTAGTTCACAGTAATAATGCAATTGATGGTGGGGTCAGTATACTTCTCCAACTTCTGAGTATTGTTGGATAATGAGAGTCAATGAAAGGCCGTAAGAATGTTCTACTTCTAGTTGTCCCAGTAACATTGAGACCTGGGATACTGAGCATAGGAGAGTGAAGTTAAAAGTTACAAAAGAGCTTAGTTAAAGACCTAGTAGTTCAGAATTTGATTGTGAAGTACCAGAATAATACAATTTCCTTCAATCATACAACAGCATTGTATTACCCTACAGCTCAGCCTACTTAAACAGTGTAGCGAAAAACAATGGTAAATACTGTGACAACATGTACTCCTCCTAATACTGCAGTCTTAAAATACTATTTACCCTAAAATGAACCAGAGCTTCCTAGATAGCTAGCTAATTCCTGGACTGAAATGTGTATGATGAGCCTAGACCATCTGTCAGTCAAACAGCAAGGAAGCCACCTGAAATTACAAGGTTCATGAAAAAGAACTCACAGGCCAACTTCAATAAGATTCCATGGGTCAAAGATGAAACAACCTGGGATTCAGTAAGACTAACTAATAACCACAATAGAGTAAATCACATCAAATATGCTTTAATCCACATGTTCATGATGCTCATGATACTAAAAGCAAAAATATAAAGAAAATAAACCAAATTGGTTCACTAGTCACTTTGGTGCCTCTTAGAGAACAAATCTTTTATTCTGAAAACAGATCCATAATGGGAAAGTATAAAGCATGCTTCAGGTTTTCCTATATGAACTGCATTTCAGAGTAATCAACTAGTTGGGGAAGAAATATTCTTTTCTTGAACTCCATTATAAGTGCAGAAAAAATGATACTGGGAATATTACCACTATTCAATCCCTAAAAAAGAAATCCAACTGAAGATCAATGAAACTTTGTAAAGTACAAGGTGAAAAGCTACTTGTGGGAATGTTAAAGATCAGAGGAACACAACACGAATCTATTACTTTATCATGAAATGACAGCCAGTTTCATATCAAAATAAGAAGGGCCACTTTTCAATTACTCTTTGGGGCAACAAAAATAAAGGGGGGGGGGAAGATGGGGGCAGAATAGGTAAAATTCAGTCTGTGGAATGCTCTATAGGATAAGTGACCCAATCTTTAAAACAACTAAATCACAAGGTTAAAAAGAGAGGAAAGGGAGACAGTGCAAACTTACAAATAATTAAAGAAACTAAATGGATTATCTGCTTCCAGGCACTAATAGGAATCACACCAAACCTCCCGGCCTGTCAACTAAAGCACAGGCAAAACAGATGGAGCAACAGTCTTGAAAACATCATACAGAGGCAATGAAAAGCTTCCCAAAGATGGGAAACAAATGAAGTCCTGTGACTACCCTCACTTAAGGGCTTGAAAGTATTTCCAGGCTGTTGTAAAGTGAGTGGAGGCCAGGAGGAGCCTGTCTGACTCCATACTGGGGGGACAAGGCCAGAGACGGAGGTGGCAGGAGTCCACAGGCCAGAATAGGACAGTGGGGCGAAGAGAGAACTCTGGAAAGTGGTCAAAGTTCTCGTCCAGGAATTCAGCTGACAGCCCAGCAGTCAGTGGGTGTGAACAAAACCCAGGCAGCTGAAGGACTATTAAGAAGGATAAGAGGTATTCATCCGAGTCAGGAAAAGTTCCTATTTCCACAGGCAGAAATGCAGACCTCACATTGCACAGGCCATTTAGGAGAGTGCTTACATATGTCCTGCTGCAGTAGCAGAGAATAACTGTTCCTGCAGCAAGTCCTTTTCTGGCCTTATCACAAATTTTAAAGGCAAGACCTGAAAGGAACACACTTTTGAAGTAACTGAATCCTACAACAAAGCTCACAAAATGTCTGGCATCCAATGGCCAACTACCAGGATTGCAAAGCATCAGGAAAATGTGATCTAAAATGAACAGGAAAATCAATCAACAGCAATCTAGAAGTGACACAAATATTCTAAGTAAATGATGACATGAAAATACTGCATATTTCAGATAGTCAAACAGTTACACCAATATCAAACACCCTGAAAAAGAACAAAGAACACTAACACTACCTATTACTACTCTTACTAGCTATAGCGTGGGAGAGGAGGAAGCAAGAGGACGGAGGGTTTTTGAAGGGGCACAAAGAAACTTTTGGTGATGGCCATGTCCATTTATTGTCTTCAATGGCTTCACAGTTGTCTACATAAGCCCAAACTTAACGTTCTACACTTTAAATACATGCAGCTTATTATATGCTTATAATATATACCTTATTTATCTTAATTAATATATACCTTAGTTAAGCTGGGAGAAAAAGGAAATTTAGAAGACATTAAACAAATATATGTTAATCTTGCTTGGATACTGATTTTAACAAATCAACTGTAAAACAAGTTGTGTATCTTGGGAAAATTAATTTATTATGTGTTAATGGTTACATTACACTGTCTTATTTTTTAGAAGTAAACACTAAACTATTTATGATTGAGATGGTACCAAAGATTTGCTTCAAAATAATTCCAGGAGAAAAGTGAGGATGCTCATTGAAACAAAAATGGCCATATGTTACAGGATGTAGAGGAGGATAGGCACATGGAGTTCAGTTTCTCTTCTGTATATATTTAAAACTTCCCATAATATGAAAAAAATAGAAAACATGAAATAGAAACTAAAAGATCAAAAAGAATTTTAGCAGCATTAAATCATATGAATCATATGATGAACTTGCTTGTTAATTGTCTTGGACCCAGTCGCCTCATTAGTAAGATGAGGAGGTTGGATGTGCATATTTTAATGCTGGTCTGGGTCATTTATAACATATAAAGTGAGTAAATTTTTGTTTTAAAATAAAGTGGAACAATGACTTTTAAGTAAACCCATCTATTTCTAGTGATTGTAATTTTTATTCTATAATACCTTATACAGTATGTTTATTTCCCACATATTTGATTAAATAGCTTTAAACACATACAAAAGAAAGTGAAAAGGAAACACTCTAGGTGAAAAATAATGCTGTTGGCAGGGGAAGAGTTACTTACTGTCAAAAGCTTGGTAGTGATACCAGCATCTACCACAGCCTTGTGCATGGCACGTAACGTCTCCAGCTCGGGAGCAGCAATAAATACAACATAGGGCATGAACTCAGATGTCCTCAGCACTTTCAGGGCCTGCACAGAAGAATAATTATAAACCTTCTGATAGAGGATCAGAATTTGAATTATGATACCGTTTAATTCTATCAGCTCTCTTCCTAAGGATTAGGATATAATTTACTGCTTTCCCTCTTTCATCTTTTTGGTTCCAGTACTTTTCTTAAATAGTGATCAGTTAACTTTGGCCTGATATCAGTCGCATTATTCTGTGATGTGCTTGAACAATGGGCCATATTAAACTTACTGTTCCAAAAATCATGAAGAATGATGTTAAACACAGTGTTAATGTCATCAATTGATGTATTTTGTACTATGAAATTATCATGCAGCAATTATAAACAATGACAGCTCTAGATTAACTGACATGAAAAAATATTTAAGAAAAACTAATGAAAACAAGTTTAAGAATCTGGATTTTTCCTTTCATGTAAAAAAAAGTTTAAGTATTATATTTTACATATGTACAATTGTACTAAAATGACAAAAATACACACAGAACAATGTTAATAGTACTAGTATTACTTAATAGTATTATACACTACTAACATTATTAGTTATTGTTGGAGAGGGTGGATAGAGTAGAGAGACACAAAATAAGAATGAAGTGTGTCTGTTAGATGAGAAGATCCACAATTTCATTTTATTCTTTTATATTGAAGTCTTTTTAAAATAAAAAAAATTTACATTTATTTGCCTATTTCCTTAGACAAATAAACATTAATTTTCAACCAGGTTTGACTGCTATCAAGCCTAGGTAGCTAGGTGATCAGATATTTGTATAACGAGCTGTATAAGCATATTCTTTACCAACAAATAAGAGTTACCTTAACACTCTGAAAACAAAACAAAACAAATTAATTTTTTTTTAAATGTAAAAAGTAGCTTTGGAATCCATGCAACTGACCTGTGGGTTGACATCCAAAATGCAAGTTCGTCCAGTTTGGACAACTTCAAGGATAGAATCAATCTTGGTTCCATACAGATTTCCTTCATATTCTCCATGTTCCAAATATTTTCCAGCTTTAATATCTGCTTCCATCTCTGAGCGTGACACAAATTTATATGCCTGACCATCTTTTTCATCTTCCCTTGGTTTCCGTGAAGTAACTAAAAATAACATTTAAAATTTGTACAAAGACAATGCAGGATATAAAAAACAAACAAAAAATTTAAAAACAAGCTAGCTAAAGGTTTTCCTATTTAGTGCATGGGGCAGAAACCTATGTCTTCTTATCAAATCTGATCTGCTTCTACTTTTCAAAAAGAAAGTTTTTTGAAACTTATAAACTTATACATGTGCTCATGTATTTATAAGCTATTATAAGTTATCTGCTCATTTGAACTACAGAGAAGTTGTATTGGCAGTAAAGAGCTGAGACTGAAAGCAAAAGGCCTGTACATCCTAAAATATTCACTGTGTATTCTTTGAATAAAAAAGTTTACTGTCTGTAAGAATGTTTTAAGAGATAGAATCCAGTGTGCAGTCTGTAATGAGAGATGTGCATTATGCTCATCTTGAAACTCAAAACGTATTTTACATAGAAGCAGAGCCCTCAATTTCAGTTCTTAGTAAGTGCGCAGCCTGTTCCCAGTGACCAGCAAGCCTTTTCTGCCTAAGAAATATCAGCTACATCTCTTCTTCACATTGTACCATTTCTTAGTTGAGTGCCCAACAACTGAACAAAGTTCTATTTTTACTTGGTACTAGCAATTTTTTCAAGTGTAACTTTACCCACAAATTTCCTATCTTGTATCTTGCTTCAACACCAAACTTTTAGTTTCCTGCTTTTTGGTATTCCCCCACATTATTCTAATTCACACCTCACTGGTAGGGTTGGCCACCTCACTGTTACTATGGTCTTTAAACTTCTTTTCTGACTTGACCATTCATTCTGAGAGGGAGAGAGAGAGAGAGGCTATAATCCAAGCCAAAAAATAGAGAATCCTTTTATCTGGTATTTTAGAACTCGGAATATCTTTAGGGACATACAACTCTTCTGTTCCTGTGCCATGCTAGGAATGAACTACAATCACCTCTCACATTGTCACAAAGATGGCTAGGTAATCTCTGTCAATTTGTTGCCACTAGTTTCAAAGAAGAAGAGAGCAGAGGGTGCATGTGTGCATGCACATGTGTTCAAATTTAGCCTTAATCTGATTTTGGCTGGATTAGAGATTAAAAGTATCCCACTTCTACTCATCAACAAATTCATGCAAAATATCTGACTAAATCATTAAACACATGAAATTAAAATTAGAAAGTAACACCACTCAAAAGCTAACATTTTGACTTAAAAAGCCTGACACATCAAGAAAATTTAAAAGAACAAAATGGACTTCAAATTTATGCTCAATAATAAAAGTTTAAAACCATATGCAAATGAAACTGCCTCCCCTCCCAGCCCCACCCCTCCCTGGAGTTTTCTGGCTCTTCATTCAGGGTGAATAGCCCAGACCACTATGGAGAGCACTTACAAAGTAACTTCAGACTCTTCAAGATATTATGATAGCTTCTCATATTTAAAACTGTGTGATCTCTACAATTTCTGGAATTATTCACCAAAGGTGGCATGATAAAATTTCTAAGACAATCTTAAACTCCCTCAAATGATACTAGAACTTGGCTTAGTAAAATTAGCCTACTTAATTTTAGAAAAGAAATTTTTTTTTTTTTAAGTTCTACTGTGGAGTTTTATGTGGACATGTGTTGGTTGAAGTAAGGATGTACACAGGCAGACATACAGTCTCTACCACCATGTCTATGTTGATAGAATCTTAATTCTTGGAGAAATGTTTTTAGTCTACAGTGAATTTTAATTATAATTCCATGTACTGGTGAACACTAAAAACAAACAAAAAGAAACAACTTTTTTGTCAACTATATTGTCACATATTTAAAACCCTTTTTACTACTAGAAAAGATAAATCAAACTGTGTGACTTGACTATAACTGAATCCTTAAGCTCATATGCTAAACAACCAAGTAATATGAGTGCTCAGAATCTTGATGACTGACAGGCAACCTTTAAGTTTTAGCAGCTTTTCAAATAATGAGGAAGCAATCAACAAAGCCAAGATCTTGTTAACTAAGCTCAACATGTAACTGTTAAAGAGAACCTATCACATAAAGTAGCTTATCCCCTCATGCCTTTTATTTTAGTTTTATACAGAGAAAATTAAGTCAAATTAACATAATGACAGCATTTACCTCTCCTTTCCTCTAAGACCTCTCCACTTATAAACCTGACAATATGTAGCACAATACCATGGGAAATTAAGCAGCCATGTCACATTTTACCAATGTTCAGGTTTTGTATTTATTCTGAGGCATGATAAAAGCCAGATGCTATATAAATGTGAATGACATAAAGAGAAATAAAACACAACTACACCAAATAAAGAACTACTCACCTGATGTATGGATATACATAAATCTTGCTATATAAAATTTCAGATTTGAAACCTTACTAAAAATAAAATATGAACTCATGTGTATAAAGCAAGAAATAGCAAAATGAGGACATTAGTAAGAAATATGGAAGTCCACCAAAATAAATAACAAAAAGAATGAGCAGCTACGGCTTCTGGTAAATGGGCCAAAGGTGAGGCAGGAGAAGATGCAATCTTCAAGACACATACTGTGCGTAATTTGATTTTATACAAATGATAAAGACTTAACACACAAGGAGGTTTTCATTTTGTTAATCACTTCACAAGGATTCTAAATTTAGTGATTCATGATTCCTACAATGAAATCCAAAATTTACCCAAAAGGAATTGTAAGTAGCACAAGAAAACAGTAATGCGGCTACTCTCCCAACAAACTAAGAATTTTAGTAATAGGGTTATTCTTCATTTAAGCATTAAACTTCAAAACATACTGGATGAAAACAAAAAAACTAAAGTTTATCTAAAAGAGATAGGGTTACCTTAGGCTAAAATCAGGCTCAACAGCTTAAAGGTATTAACATACTTAAAAGGAATACTGTGTTAAAACAAAAGGGATCTTGGTCAGCAACAGAAGCACAGTATTCATAAAGACAATACTGAAGTTATAAGGGCAATATTGGCTTGTTTCATGCATTGTTCATGGGATAAGTTCCCAGATGCAGAGGCTCATCCATTTCCAAAGTAAAGACAAATATATATTAGTTCTATAATTCAGTGAAACAATGTTAACTCCTTGATCTAAATCCGATCTCATCATTAACTTTCAATAGAAATATACAAGTAGGAAAAGAAAGTAAAGATCACAAGATGAATTTTGTTTCACTAAATGGTTACACTTCTCATCACTGGATTTATTTCACATAATCATATGATCTTAATGCTGACTGATCTGGAAAATCAATCACCTTTTTTTTCTTCCACATTTATTTTATTTTATTTTTTTATACAAACAAGAACTGGTCCAGAGATGCAGGGGTGTGAGACACTAGGGACAGAGTGGGAAGCAGAACAGGTGACACACTGAAATATACTGCTGCGGGGAGTGTACAGACAGGAGAGGTCTGTAGTGCCAGGTGGGTGGCTCTCTGGCCTGGGATCAAAGAACTCAATGCCAAAGTGGCTTGAGATAGTTTGATAGTGCTGAGACTTTAACCCCTGCACCAGGGAGGCCCAAAATCAATTACCCTTAATGCATTATCAAAAATCAGGTTTATGACTTTGCAGGACTGAGAGCTACAAGCAAGATGACAATACATAGGATTGGTACATTAGGGGTATCTAAGGACTCAGCAGATTCTTTAGTCTGAAACTGGCAAAACACAACTTTTCAGATAGAAATTAGTTGTATAAGACAATGTAAACTAATGCTGATTTTGTGCATGAATGCAATGCTTTTATTGAGCTAACATTTTCTGGATGAGGTGTAGAGAACAATAGCCACCCAGTGCTAGCGGACAGGGCTATAGTGTTTGTTGTCTTAAGAGAGCTGTGGAATCTCCTGAGTTTTTCAGTCTCTTCTACTTGTTCATTTTCACTGGCAATATCAAATAGCAAAGGAAACTTACATGGTACTGTGGTTCCAAATCTAGTAGGATTCAGTACTATGAATCTGTTTTTCAAGCTTCTTCGGCCCACTCCTTGAGCTCCTATTAACACTAATGTCTTTCTCTGGAAGGGAGGCATTTTGGCTACCTCCTCATATATCTGGATTTCATGTCGATCAAATTCTAGATGTAAAAGGAAATATGAAAAATCATACTCATGTATCTTTTATGATGACAAAAATTCCCTATTCTGTTCAGACATTTATCTTGATAGCTAAATATCACTTAAGTTGTACATTTTAATAAATGTGATTTTCATACAGATTTATTTTTATAAATTTGGCAAAGTAAAAAATTATTTCATATTCTGATTTAAACATTTGCATCTCTCAGTCTGTCCCTAAAAGTGTGTCTAGCCAAGCTAGAAGTGCCTGTGTATTTTCCTTACCAGATATTCTACTTACTAGAACCTTTTTATTATCAGTTTACCAAGTAGAAAAAATTCCTTTAGCATAATCAAATTCTAAGTTAGTTAAAAATATATATCAAACAGCAGTAAGTCTAGTCTGACTACGCAAGTAAATTCTATAGAAGTATGCTCTTTCAACAATAATAAATGAATATTGTATGCAAGGAATTCATAAAACACATATTGACAATCAATATTAAAAGTCTAAATTTATATCTAAAATTAAAAGTTGGATCTAAACTATTTTCAGTGGAAATATATTCCAAAGTTATAGTCTATGTCAATGGGAAAATTATAACTTTTCTGTTTTGCAAGAAGGCTTTAAGAACATACATTTAAAAATAAGGACAAAGTTAACCTGAAATGTCATATTACTTATTACTGAGATTGTAGCTCTCAATCCATAGTATAACATTCTTCTTTAGGTTATTATCAGCAACTCTATGTACAATTTCTCCACAGCTTAAGGCAATATTAAGACACTATTTTCTCTTATATTTATTGTGACAATATTGTATTATTTCCTTTACAAGTGTGTTATTTAGCTGATTACCCATATAGATGTAATTTTTTAAAAATCCTTTAAAATTGTTGATTCCTTTGAGTAAGCCTCTAGGGCCTTCTGATTCAAAAGCTATATTTTACTGTTCTGTAAGCTTCTATAAGAAGAAACGTTATAGCAGTTGTCATATTTATCTCTTTTTAAATCTAAAAGATTTAGGAAAGAACCTTACCAAATCAGACAAAGATTTGTTTGGTTCAGTACTGATTTTTCAAGTGTCAAGGAAAATGTTATAGCAGAATATATAGTTACCCTTAGTCATAGCTCTTTTAATCATTTCATTCAGGCATTTTACTCTTTAGGAGTGATATATAAATTATTTCAAAATTTTCTGAATAGTTTCAATTAGAACATTGTTACTTCATTTACATCAGCATAAATTTTGGTCCATTGTTTTACTGTAAACTATATTCACAAAGCACACTGGTTATATATATATATATAGTACATATGATACACCAAAAAATGATTTCTATATATTATACTGTACCATGTGTTAATATGCCAGTCCCTTCCAAATCTGTACTAATCTGAATTAGTCATTTAAAATTACTCATTTAGAGTTTGTCCCACATTGACAAACAATATGAAACTACTTCACTTGATCTTCTCAAAAGATGTTTAAAACATACCTGCATTTCTGGTTGTGAGATACATCATCTTTTTCTTTTTTTTGCTACTTATAGTGCCACAGAAAGGTCCTAAAGGATGAGAAGACAAGATAACTTAAGCAGCGTGTCACAATCTGATAAAATTACTCTGCAGTCTTCCAAAGGGTTGAGAATGCATCTTCCCAGGCTATATACAACAGCACAAGAGGCAGGGATGAGCTGAGCCAAGAACTCTGCTACTACACCAGCAGGTGGCAGAAAGGGATCAAAAAGTTGACTCGGGAGAGCAATACAGATGGGAGGGCTTTTATATATGTATATGTATATGTATATGTATATGTATATGTATATGTATATGTATATGTATATATATATGTATATATATGTGTGTGTGTATGTGTGTGTATATATATGTGTGTGTATATATATATATATATATATATATATATATATGTATGTATTGCTCTCCCATCTGTATTGGGAGGGCTTACATATATATATATATATATATATATATTAGAGGTCTATTTATGCATACAGAACTGGGGTACAAGCCAGAGGTGCAGGAGCGATGAGAGACTACACCAGAGACAGAGAGGGGAGCAGAACAGTCAGATCGATGAAGCACACTGCTGAGGGGAACAGCAGGCGGGTCAGGAGAGGTCTACTGTGCCATGTGGGTCACCTCCGGGGCCGGGGGTCAAACCCACACTGAAGTGGCTGCAGCTAGCTTGCAGTGCTGCATCCTAACTCATTGTGCCACCAGGGAGCGCCCAGTTCTATAAATATTTTAAATAAATTCATATGCTAAGTCAGATGAAAGTGGTAAAGAAAGGTGACCACAAGGGACTACTTATTATTTATTCTGTTGAACTATCATCACCTGAATTGTCCCAGTCTCTTCTAACAAATGCCTTTCTCTTCTCTTCCAGGAACTGACTTGGAATGAGGCCAGCGCTTCCACCCTCTTTGACATGGCTAGCCTAGAATTAGATTAGTGAACAGTGGCCAAAATTTGAGAACATATTGTAGTAAGGAAGGACAAACAACTGCAGGCAAAAACAAACAAGCAAGCAAAAAACACTTTCTCTTTTAAACTAACCTTGACATTTAAACTCATGGTATGTCAGTTCATTCATTTCTCCTTAAACACTTCAGCACTGAGGAGTAAACTGGCACTTAATCAACTTCTAGTGAAATTTCAGGACCAAAATATAAAGGTATACAGGCTCTTTAAATTAAACTTAAAGAACAGAAAAGAATAAATGCTATTCTATCTGTTAAAGAGGACATCTCATCTAACATCCTTTAGTAAAGTGTTTACGATCAACATTAATCCTGCTATGTTGGTATTTTCTAAGGCCAAAATTAATGAAAGATAGAGCTGGGAAAACAGAGTGGAGAGTTTAATTCATGCTACCAAGAACATGAATTTCCTGAAAGGTAGTGATGTTTAGAATAGGCAAAGTTTCACTTAGTATCTAAACCATAACTTTTAAAATTTAAAGAATATATATATAAATAAAATGATTGGATAGTGCCAGCTACTGTCTTTATCCTAATAACTAGCATAGAAAAACCTCATATCTATTTTAACAGTTAAAAATCCTGAAAAATAGAATAACAAACCACAAAATGCAGAGACTGAAATAGTGGTGAAAGGCATTAAAAAAGAAAACTAAGAGAAGGCATTTATAGAAAAAACAACAACAACAACAAAAAGACAAATTAAGTAAAGGCAACAGTCACAGAAAGCAGTTTTGTTTTTTTTTAGATGAGAGTTCTAATTCACTCAATTTGTCTATTCAAATCACAGATTCTGTTCAATTTACACTTTCTTAGTTCTTTCATCATCTGGTGCACCCATACACAATGATGTCTGCAATCTAAGGAAACTTTAATAAAATTATTCTCATTCTGTAATTCATTTCTCCTTAAAGGTCAATATAACTGATGAGAGGCTAATATGAGTTAATACTATCTCATTTAGAGTTCAGCACTAGATTTTAAGGTCCTTTCCTCACACACCATGTTCTTTAATGAGAACTTTCATTTGCTCTAACAATTTAAAAGGACAAAGATTCTAATTTGTCAAATTCTTCAGTTCTGAATACTGTGGTTATTCAGATATAAACATTCATAAAAACAGACTTATTATTGCTGAGGAGCTTTCTGAAATCTGTATGTGGAAAAGGATCATATATAATTTTTTTCTATGAAATGAAGGGAGGGAAAAATACAGTGAAACATAACCATTTCCATCCACACAAACTTATTTTTATATAATTATGCATACAAGAACTGGGGTGTAGGCCAGATGTACAAGGGGTGAGACGATCCACCAGAAACAGAGTGGGGAGCAGAACAGGCAGATCTACTAAAATACACTGCTGAAGGAAGCAGCAAGTGAGACAGGAGAAGTCTTTCATGCCACGTGGGTCACTTCCCTGGCTGGGAATCAGACTCATTTTGCAATGGTTGGCAATAGCTTGATAGTGCTGAGACTTAATCACTTCCTTGTACCACCAGGGAAGCCCCATTCACACAGATTTCAATCCAAAACCAATGACAATGATAGAGCAAATCTTCATTACTCATAAAATGAGAAAAGGTGGGCAGATAGACTTAAGCATTTAAAATTTTTTAAAATCATGAATGTATATGTAAGAGAAAGAAGAGACAAGAGAAAGACTACTATTCTCATAGTTTAAAAGACAAAAAACAAAACAAAACAAAAAATACTCTCGGTTACAATAAACAAAAAACAAACTTTGAAAAGGAATGACCCCAGTAGAGTTCTTCTCACCCCAAAACACCCAGACAGGAGAATCAACTGGTCTAATATCTAAGCCAAAATAAAGGTACCACAGGCTGGTTAATTCTGCATTTATTAATAGCTACTCACAAATTCCCCTCAATTTGGTCTTCTGTCCACAAAATTAGCAGTCATGAAGCACGAGCTGTTCATGCAGGAAAAAGCATTGGAACAAATGCTAATACCTTCTTCCTGAATATTCAGATATTGGGCCAGATCTAAGATTGAAAATAAAAAGTAGATGAGGAAATTTTGAGAAGCATACTAACCTGCCACCAGTTTGGATCTTCTCTGTTTACAATCTGAAGAATTTCTCCTTTTGAAAACTTCAAGCCTGCTTCTTTGCAGGGTATCAGGTTATCATTGTATGGATTATAATCAAAATGACATTTCACAAATACCTAAAACACATAACACAATTAAAAATACCACAAATGTATCATCTTTACCACATTTTTCTAAATTTTTTCAAGCCACTGATTTAATTATATTAATAATTGACTATGTCTTTATAGTAGTCAAGCAAGAAATATTCTTAAAAAACCAAATATTAGAGTATTAATAATTTGATGTAAAAGAACCAGAAGTAATATATTAAAATTGCATTTTTATTTTAATTTCAAACCTTAAAACAATTTGACAATATTTTATTTTACCTTCATTACATTTCCCCCCAATTATTTCACATAATTTTCCAATCAACATTGCATAACTTTTATGGAAATAAATGGTACTTTCTAATGAAATAATATATGCAGTTGATTTAAGGCAGATATTTCAGATATAAGATTAACTTCTTGAAAGAGCCAAGAAGCCAACGTTAAATAATACCAATTCATGTAGAAGTAAAACATGAAACATATTTACTAATCTCAAAAGAAATTTTAAACCCAACTTTCATCCCTGGTAATATTTTTACTCACCTAGATTCACACTGGCCAAAAACTGGTGTAGAAAATACATTTTTGGAATCATCTTGCTGATTACTTTGCTCATTTATAATCTAATGATAACCATTAAGATGACTGTAGAACAAATACTGAAAAAGCCTTGAAACTATTTTCCCATTTAAATAAAAATGACTCTACAAAAATCTTTTAAATGTGTTTTATTAAAGTATGGCAATTACCACTGGAATATTTTGCCTATTCACTTTAAAATTTGAATTCTCATTAAAGTAAGATTTTTTTTTTCAGTATTTGATGGCAAGTACAGACCAACTACTTTCCTGAAACAGATTTTTTTCCATGCATAGTTAAAAAAAAAAAATCAAACTTCAGCTACAAAAAATGACTTAGCATTCATCAGCAGATAAAATTTAACAAGCAGGGAAGCACATAATTATTAGTCAAAATAACTATTTTTCTACTTATTTATCATACTTCTATAACACAAGTAGCTACATTATATTATTAGTGCAGTAAAATGTAATGTGATGGATGCATATTAAAATAATTTTTAAATAACTGTATTTGGGAACATATAACAAAATTTTAGTTATTTACAATGAGATGATTTTGATAGAAAGTAGTCAGAACATTTTCAGTCACTCTGAAAAGACCAAATATTAATGCCCCTCCCAAATCAGTAAGCCAATAATTTGTTTCCTGACACATAATTTTAGAAATGTATAAAAAGCAAGCATACAAACAATATTAAGATTGCTAAAATGGAACAATTGGCTAACTTGACAATGACATGCAACTCAATGTTTTGAAAGTGGGGAAAATCCAAAATGATTAAGTTTAATCAAGATAAATTTAGTTGGCTGGTAAGACAGAAAACAGTACCAGAAAAGTACTGAATGACATCATACCTGACGGACGTGTGCTGGATGCCTCTCCATATTGATGCAACTCTAAAAATATATTTTTCATTGCATAAATAAAGCCAGATTTTAAGCTTATAATAAGTTAACAAAAACAAACAAAACTAATGGCCCATTTTTATCACTTCATTCACTTGGTCAGCAGCTACCTCGTTAATTTTCCCTAGATAACCAAAAACTATAAATCAAAAAAGCAAAAAGCTAGAAGTAGTTGAGATGAGGCAGAAAAAAACAATGGATATAAAAATACCCGGATATGCATTCTTGAAAATGCTGTTCTGCATGTATAGAAAGAGCACATTGTAATCTAGCCTAAATGTTTATCATTCTTATTTGAGTCAGAAAATATTTCATAGCCACAGAGCTCAGACTTTCCTAGATAGTCCAAATTTCAAATATTCATCCCGACTCCCATCAAATTGTTCTATAAAAGTCATTATTTGTAGAGCAAACCATCTCTCTCAAATGTACAAGACTCCCATAAAGAAATTATTTTAATGATTTCATTGATTAATTGTAGAACATTATTCTCATGCTCAAAAAACTCAGATTAATTTGGTTTTATTTACAATGACTTTTGATAATGTCTGGGAAAAAAAAATGAACCTTACCAAAAAAATGAACCCTACTTTCATCTAAACATTTTGTAATTACCTTAAAAATCATTAGAGATTTACTATATTTAGTACTGTATCTTCAGCACATTTTAAAATGTTTCATTAATAGGCTCTTCATGCAAACTGATCATACTTTATTAAGAAATTACAAAATACAATCTACTAAAATATTTCAGTTTGTGAATGACAATCTGAAGTACATGGAACAAAGGAAGTATAAATGGCTTTTAAGCACAGAAAGATAATTCAATCTCAAAACAGACATAACAAGTTAAAACTACATTACGACAACATTTTCTTCCTACCAGATCAGCAGAAATACAAATATTTGATAACATTTTGTAACCAGGACTATGAACCAATAGGTATTTCCTAATAGTTTAGTAAAAGAAATGATCCAAACTCTTGGGAAGAAAATTTGGCACAAGCTGTCAAAATTACAAAGGCAAAACCCTCTGACCTAGTAATTCACCTATGGGAATGAATTCGACAGTAACACTGGTTGGATATATGTGAAATGAGGTAGGTATATGACTACTAACCACTGAATTATTCTAAAAACAAAGATTAGATGCAACTTACTTAACAATAGGGAGTTATTTAAACAAATGATAAATCTGTGTAAATTTATGCAGCTGTTACAAAAAAGGGGGGGCAGGGAAGAGAGTGTATGTCAAGAAGTAACTTATGTACCCAGATTCTTGAGATACATGGCTACGTGATAAAACCAGGTCTGTATAATATATAACCCTTTCAAGAAACAAAGAGGTAGAGGAGGAGTAAGAAATATATAGCATTGATTTACTTGCACAGGAATTAAGAAATTCTGGAAAATTAAACTAATAGCATGGTCATGGTTTCTTATGGGAGATGAGGATCAGGTGGATAGTAGAAAGAATAAGGAGGGAGATTTTAATAAATACATATTTATATTTCTGGAATTTTAAATCACTGGATTTACCTATTCAAAATTTAATATCTTACAGTAATATAAGTAAAGCTCTTAGAGCTTCCTGCTCTAAGATGAAGAAACAAGGACCCTCCAACCTGAAACAACTAAAATATTGGACAAAATATGCAAAACAAAGTCCACGAAGATATCAGAAGACTGCAATGCTTTAAAAAAAAATGTAAACAAACAAAATGAGCTATATTAATGACCCTGCTAACTACAGAGTTTCCAGTGTGCCACTCAGAAAAGGAGAATCAGGTAGAGCCAGGTGACTTCCCAAGTTGAAAAGATGAGCTAGTAAGGTTAAGGTGGCTACAGTGTACAAAACAGAGTAATAAGTGGAAGAGCTGAACAAAGACACAGTTTCAGAACTGTAAAGTACTCTCTCCAGTCTTAGACTAAGTACCGACCAGTGCATGTATGTAAGGAACATAGCCAACAGGTGAAGAACCACTGGAAAGCATTACAAGGAACAATATCAGGTCAAGAAAAGTTTGTTATACCAGAGAGAATGAAAAAGACCTCACAATTCAAGAGGCATTAAGAACACACGTATTATGCACTAGACTTAATCCAGCTTTGGTTGCCTCTAACAAAGCTAAAAACCAAGATCCAAAACGATCAAAATACTGCCAAGGAACTACAATGGATCCTAGAACAAAGCTTAAGAATATTTTTGAAAATACAAAATACATCCAGCAGCCAACAAGGTAAAATGTGTGATGTCTGGCAGCTAATCAAGAATGACCAGACATGCAAATAAGCAGGAAAATATAACCCTCAATGTGGAGGAGGAATAAAATCTAGCAAGTGAGAGTGACCCAGAAATGCCAAATGTGACGCAAGTAGTAGACAAGGACACTAAACTTTTAACTTTACATATTGTATTCTTATGTTCAAGAAGCTAGAGGAAGAACTGAGAATGCCAGATGGAAACATGGCAGAGAGAAAAAATTCATTTGAACTTCTAGAGATGAATGCCTAAATACCTGAAACAAAAAATAAACCAGATAACCAGAAGTGATTAACAGCAGACTAAATACTGCTGAAAAATCAGTAAACTTGATGACAACAGCAACAGAAACATGAAAACAGAAGAAAAAAAGATAAAAGTAAATGAATAGAATATCAGTCACCTATGGGGCAACTTCAAGTAGTCTAATATACATAGTAGTCACCAAAGGAGAATAGAGAAAATATATGAAAAAATTACAACAAAATTATGGCAAATTTGATCAAAGTAGTCATTTTTCAACAAATGGAGCTAAAAAAAATTTGGATACCTATATGCAAAAAGTAAAATTTAATCCATTCCTCCCACTCTATACAAAACATAACTTGTAAATACTTCATAGTTAAATTTAAAGCATAAAGCTATGAAACTCCTAGAAGAAAATTTGTATGACCTTGAGTATATAAGGAATTTCTGCACAGAACAAAGTGTGATCCAAACAATAGTAAAATAGTAAATTAATCCATCAAAATTAACAATTGCTTTTTGATTTACACTTAAAGAAAAAGAAGACAACCATACTTGTAGAAAGTCCTTGCAAATCATTATTCTGATAAAGTACCTGTATATAGAATATACAATGGACTTTCAAAACTAAAAAACAAGCAAACAAGCAACTCAATAAGATGGACAAAAGATTTAAAGACATTTCACCAAACAGACACAGACATAGGCAGACATAGTTATGATTAAAAAAATATAAATAAAAATCATGATTGAGATCTGTGACACACTCATTAGAATGACTACAATTATAAAACCAATCAAATTAAATGTTGACAAAGATGTGGAATTATTGAAGTTATATATAATGCTATGGAAATTGTCAACTGGTGGAACCACTTCTGAAAACAGTTTAGAAATTTTGATATAAACTACCATAGGACCCAATCCTTTAATTCCTAGATATTTATTGGGGAACTTACATGTAAATATCCATAGTAAATACTGATTAATAGTACCAATCTAAAACCAACAAAAATGCTCACAATAATAACTAGTACGACAACAGGTTAAAAGAGAAAAAAACCTTAAGAGAATGTGATTCACAATTAAAAAAAAAAGATCAGCAAATTAGAAACAGACTTCATTAATTTGATTTTATTTTAAAAGGACAGACATTCTAAATAGTTACATGTCAGAAGTTCCTCTTTAAAGTCAGTAACTGAACTGAATTGAGTATTTTTTAGATATAATCAAAAGTATGTGAAATTTAAAAAAAAAAAATCAGGAACTCTGTGCACCCTTAGCTTGTCTGCCTTGAGTCATCATGAATGCCAACCCTAATCTCCTATGAAGCCTGTTTCCACCTCAACAAGATGGGAATAAAAACAAAAAAAGTGAAACTTGCCAAACTTCAGGCACTAGATAAAGCAACTTCCTGCAGATTATATATGGATAACAGATAACATGTCTGTCATAACAGATGATAAAAATCTTCAATTTTCCTTAAAGAAACTAGGAATAAGCACTATCTCTGCTACTAAAGAGGTAAGCTTGTTTGAAAAACAGGGAATGTTGATTCATTTTAACAAAGCTCACAAACTCACAGTTCTGACAGTAAACACTCTTACCTTTACCAGCCATGCTGAGACAAAGCAGCTGAAAGAAATGCCACCCAAAAACACCACTGGCTACTGGGAAGGAGGTGAGGTTGTTTAGCATTCTGATGAGATTTCTCAACAGTGAGGCAAATGACTGACTTTACTTCTTTAAAAATAATAAAACTTCTTTAATTATGATTGCTTAAAAAAGTTTTGTTTAGTTATGTAATAAAATACAGAAATCTTTAATAGGTCCCTGATTATTGCTTTTTAACTTACTGCTTATGCATAATTATTGGTTAGCAATTGGCTGATCCAAAGAAGCCAGAATTAAGTTTTAAACAACCATCAAAAAAAATCTTTGCTTAAAGATGGGTCAAACACTACACGACATACACTTCGGCGACATTTTTAAAGACAGAGCACCAACGCCACAACGCCACAATAGTGAAGGCAAAGATAAATAGATGGGACTACATCAAGTTAAAGAGCTTCTGTACAGCAAAAGAGACATTACTAAAAACAAA